CAGTAACTGAAATGACTGGAAAAATTACAAGGATCACATGTTAAATTTTCCCTGAACTTACAAAAACATTCTCAACATTTTTTGAACATATCAGAAAAATATTTCATTCATCTGAAATCCTCCTTTGCCATAAGACAGATATTCAAGCTACTTTCCTGATTTATGTGAAGTTACTAAAAGTGCTATTGGGTATAACCATGACACCGCAAGAATCCTTTCTCACGGTAACATCTTTCTTCCATCTTTCTATCAAGATGATAATTAGGGGAAAGAATGTTAAAAGCCAGAGATGGTCCTGGGCATAAAACTCTTTCATGAGCTATTTAAAGAGTTTAAACACCACCTAATGAGTTTAAAAGTAGGTTATTTAAAGGAAGTAGTTTGCACTGGGTGAAATGCAGAATAATCCGTACAAAGAATGGCTTCTAGAACCGATACACAAAATTGCCAAACTACCTGGCATAGCGATACAGGGATCAGGCTCTAACATTACCTTTCCGAGAACACCAGAGGATAGTTACCTGCTCAGATGACTGTGTGCTGAGTGCTGCAGCTAAACTTACTATCCTGTGGCGTTATTTTAACCACTGTGGGCATCAAAGAGGATCACTCCTGCCACAGCACAGGAATGAATGATCACATTTGGGTTTGGAGGAATATCTTACTCTGTAGTCCCATATAATATTGAGAATTGTCTGGCCCTAAATTTACTGAAATCCTGATCGTACCTAATTTAAATTGGCATGCAATTTAAGTTAAATTTATTTTCTGCCTTTTCAAGGGAGACAGATTTTTTGTTTCTGTTTAAATAAACTGCTGTTGAAATTGGTTAATTAAAAGGATTTAAAAAATCTTAATACTCTAAACAGAGCAAACTGGTTCTGAATTATTAAGCAACATTTTAGATGCATTTAAATAACCTTAAGTGACTTAACTGCCACCTGATCCTAAGCCGTGGCTCAGAAAAATAAAATGTGAAATACTGTAGAAGTCTTGGCTTACCAGGGCTTCCAGATACAGTAAATAAAGAGCTTAGGTCTCTAATACCGTGTCTGCAAAAGGCATACTCTCAAATACATAACTAATGCTCCACCTTAAGGAGAAATGAGCAGAAGAAATTGTAGATTGCAATTTTGATTTTTCAGAAGAAATTAATAAATTCAGTCTTTCAAAAGAAAGAGCATGCCAGGACCTCCCTTTCTGACAGATACCATAAACCGTTCACAAACATATCATCAACCCTAGTAGGGTGGCTGAAGCCCAGTTTGGGTAAATTCGTTCTGCACATTCCTCCTATAGTTTCAGCTAGACACGGTACACCTTCAGCTTCTTGCCTGAAGTGGGGTGAAATGCCCAGTCCGTAAGATGTTAAAGAGTTTTAGGAAGACTTCTGCAGATCACCACCACAGAAGGAAGTGAGGAACTGATTCTCTGGGAGGTCTCCAGGGTTCTGGGAGAAGGTGGATCTTGCAGCTGGCAGATTGAGCGGACTACTGAAATTAGTGTTTGGGAAGGCTTTTGAGAGAAAGGGACTTAGAAGAAACACTGAATGGGAAGGTTGACTGAGCATGCTAATATGCTTAGGGTAAGCTCTTTTTGTTCTAGTTAAATGCATTTTGAAGACTGGAGCAATTCTTGGAAGAAAAGGAACTATAATTCTAAAATCAGCACATACATTTAAATAGCGCACACATTTGCTTCCATACAGCCTTTGCAGGTGCATTTAAAAATAATGCAAAGAACTTATAATACAGCTTTTCACTCCCAAAGATGTGCTTGCCAAACGTTTTCAAAGTTAGAGGTACAAGTTACCTGCTGACCCAGGCTCACCCGTGTGATACACACTTGGTACGGCATGCAGTGCTGCCCTGGTTGAGGTACTGAGAGAGGAGGTGGTTAATACCTAATTTCGAAGCTAGTAGAAAGAACAACACAGTCGGTGACAAAGACCAAATAACAAGTCACTGCATGTGCTTAACTGCTTTGGAATGTCACTGCTGCTTTAAAATCTACAAGTAGTGCCTGGAAAAGGTTAATCTGTGTATTTGCTCATATGTAGAAGTTTGTATTTACAGTAGGGTTATGATACTAACTTTAAGTTAGCTAAGGATATCTGTGTAGGCAACTGGAACATAGAACTAGGAACTAATGAATTTTTATTTACCAAAGAAGTAAAAATACTTCAACAAAACTGTATCAGGACTGATGGCTTTGAAAAGCAGGTAAAAATACTGTAACAAGTTTATTACAAGAAAATGCCGATTTGGTCGAAGATAATCCCCTCGTTTTGATAGGACAGAAACACTTCTGGGGGTGTGTATGTTACTGTAATACAGATTAGGTTAGAAGAAAAGAATACTAATTTGAGAAGACATGTTTTCATCTTATTGCAGCAAAAACTCCAGCAAAGTAATTCTGATACTTTCAAACTTACTTTTTTCAAAAATGTTATGTATAGTTTAAATACAAACAGGCATTTTAAATGCTATTGTTTTCTGGAGCACAAGCATCCCAAGTGCTCGGTTCTTGCTGCACAGATTTCAGTGGATGTTTGTGATACATATCATATAGCAGAAGGGTCTTGACAAATTACGGTGTATTTTTAAGAGACTATATACCACGAAGCCTAAGGCAATGAATATATACTTTTACTGTACCTCCAAGGCGTTAATCAATGACCTTTTTTTTTTTTAAAAAAAAAATCTCTCCATGGATTTGCACACTTACAACTTTCCAAACCTGGGGAACATGGCAGATGTCATTTATAGTTCTCAATGGTTAGCAAACCCCTGGGGATTATTTTTTGTCTGTTGTAGCTCTGGTGGTCACAATGGCAACTGGATTCATACACGGCCACTGAGTCAACGGCATGAATCATTTACGTGACTCCTCATACACGGCATTATTAGGTTGGAATCATAGAAAAAAGATGACAGATCTTTGCTTCCCACGCAACAGACCAACGGCTCCTTATCCTGCCATAAAAGACTCCTTTCTTTCTCAATGGTTAGCAAACCCCTGGGGATTATTTTTTGTCTGTTGTAGCTCTGGTGGTCACAATGGCAACTGGATTCATACACGGCCACTGAGTCAACGGCATGAATCATTTACGTGACTCCTCATACACGGCATTATTAGGTTGGAATCATAGAAAAAAGATGACAGATCTTTGCTTCCCACGCAACAGACCAACGGCTCCTTATCCTGCCATAAAAGCCTCCTTTCTTTGCCTCAGCGTTTTCCCCCTGGCAGCTTCACAAATGAAAATACCAGCCTGTTCTAATTTAGTGGGCTTTTTTATTTTCTACTCCTTTTTTAATTTGTTCTTACGTGAGCCATCTGATCAATTTTTTACTTTGCTACAGAGGACTAAAAATAATAATGATGATGATGTGATTAAGTACAGAACCAGCCAGTCTAAAGTGCAAAACAAATGTAAAACGTTAGAGTATTATACTTGTAGGTTTTTTTATATTAAATATGTACTAAGACATAAATATGTTACGAGTAGGGAGGTGTGACTTGCAGAATATTTAAAATACACAAAAACATTGTTTAGACTGTAAAAGATTGTTTCTTCTGTCAGGTAAACTGAACGATCAGTAATCCTGGAAACATAGATGACTTAGTCTTTGGTTCCACTGGAAATCATATTACATGCTTAAGGAGTACAGTTAATTAGTGATTAATGAGATTCCTTAAATGCTGCTTTTCAGTCTGACTGATTAGGATTCTCAATATAAGACAAGGTGGAAGAAAAGCTGTAAGCACTACAATCCTGTTCACAGCCTTATGCCAAAAATTGGTCAGAAATCACATCCACTCTCAAGGTTGTATGCTTGCTGAGGACATTATTTTCTTCCCCTTTGGAGTACTTGTGACCCTTTGGAGTACTTACAAATGAGATGATAAAGCAAGAGGTATCTGTTACAAAGCAGTACTGTAAACACGCTAATCAGAGCCTTATTCCTAGTGAACTTCCTCCAGGGGCAGTGATGGGAAACAAAATGGAAAAGCAACCCAAGTTACTGAGCTCCTTTGATGAAAAATGGCTTAACTAGTCACCTGGAGATGCCCCCAGCAAACAAAACCCCAGCTGATCCAGAGCTGCCCCGACTCGTTTGCAGTACTGAGGCAGTATGGCCAAAAAGCTGCTGAACTTCACCCATCACTGCTTGGCTCTGTACTGTCATCTCTGTAGCGCCTGTTACCTTCGCCTTTTATGCAGGGCCCCAGGTAATTGCTGCACAGTTGGACCCAATGACTTTTACCTTTGCTGTAACAATGGCTCAATAAGAAATGAAAGTTAATTTGTAATAGAGCAGAAAACATATAGGTATATTTTCAAAGAAACTTAGTAACCAGCACATAAATATCTGTTGATAAATCAACAGAATTTAATTGACTTTTGTAAGCAGTAAGCAGTATCGCTTTTGAAAATCGGTCATAGCAGGTACCTCATTAGAATTTCAAGGTAGGAGATATAAATGATTCTTTACTGGTATTATGTAACAGGTGGATGAATAATTTCTTAGAACGTACTGATTAGCTCATAACTGTATACTATCTGACACTGAGGCTTCCTTGCTCATAACGTAAAATTGCATCAAAACAGCAAAACCAGAAAGATCAGAAGTACCAGCCCATAACAGACCTAAACAGCGTAGTAATATCGATGCGACTTCCTTCAAAACAGGACGTGAGCGATGCCAGCTCAGCATATTCAGGCAGTTTTCATTGAATATGGTTGACAACTTGTTTGTTTCAGAAACGGAGGATTTTTTACAATGTCACTGGAAACAGATTTCACAACACAATTTTGTATGTAACATATGAGAGCACTGGTAGGTTAGCACCTGGCTTGCTTACAGCCACAGAGCTTGGCAGCACTCTGACATATTCAGGCATATCTTTTACCTTCTATGCTATAACGTACTGGTCATCTAACATACAGGAGTAAGAAGTAGTGGTATTTATTCCAGAAAGGTACATTTACTCACATCTCTCCTCGGAAAGGTGCCCAGCAGCTTGTACTCCTCCCAAGGATATCCCTTGGAAGCTACAAAATCAAAGACAACCTGCAGCTTGCTGCTGGCCAGGAAACGTCGCTCAAAGAATTCTCCACTGGGTGTCCGAATACGCAGTTTACTGACGGATTCGGTGCTCTCCTCTTTCGGTTCGGGAGGCAAAGATTGCTCAAGAGAGAGCCTGATAGCCTGAGGAAGGAAAAATAACCATTTAGGTTGCAATGCTAGCAACAGAAGAAAAGGACAGAAAGCTTTTCTTTTTATTTCTTCTAGAACTTCAAGATGTGCCACAGTGCTCCGGAGCCATGGCTGTGCTTTATATCTCAATGACAGAATAATTTTTATTCATTCCTTAATAACAGCCCACCAGACAACTAATTAAAATAAATCCTTCCTTATAACACATATTATTAGATCTACAGTTAATGCACGATGGGGATAAGTAATTTAATCATTTGGCAGAAAGCCTTGGAAAAAATTTGAATGAGAGAATAATTGTCAAGTCGCCAATTGCTTCCTTAAAGGGTATAAATTAAAAAGCAGTAGAAGTATTTCTTTAAATGCACTTATCAAATTGCCTTCCTCTTGCACAGAGTAATTGACCATTTGCAGCAAAGACAAGACCCTTAACGGCAGTTCAGAGTAAAAACAAATATATGCAGGAGATTTACTATAAACAAACTAAAACACTGTTAAAAGACATAATTAAAAATATCATGAAGGTACATCAGATACATAGAGTCCATATAAAACTAGGAATGGTCAAAGGAGAAAACTGGGAGGACAGAAATGGGAGCTTTAAGATTTAAAGCAAGCAATTATTATTTGCAGGAAGATGGTTCCAAGCACAGGTGTGCACATTTTCTGCAACAACTTGTATGAAATTAGCCCCAAAACTGCAATGACATTACATGTCTGCAAATGCGTATGACTGTCTTCCTGCTAACATTGTGTATACTGCTGCTGTCAAGATTTTAAGGGCAGGAGCCAAGTCTGCGTTCTCTGTCCTCTGCCTCTGGGAGCTACTACAACACTAACACTTTGATCAGAAGTTTTTTTTAAAAAATGGATGCCTAATATTAGACTGCTGAACGAGGTGGGCTTGATTTTCAAGGGTACTGAGCACTGTCGGTACTCATGGACAGGCACTGGCATCTGCTAAAAATTAGATCATACTGAGAAAGCAGCCTGCTTACAGTATCACCTCACTTAAAGCAGCAGTTAATGAGAATGTCAATGAATGGAAGAAGCAGCATGATCACACTGCCTCCCCCAAAATACGCCTAAAAGACAATTTTCCAAACTGAAGAGGCAGTCAGGCATGGATTTACCCAGATTTTCAAGGAAGTTTCAAGATACACAGTTGCTATTTGTGCCTTTGAAAACCTCCCCAAGGTCATTTAGTAACAGAAACTGATGGAGGATGATTACATTAAAGAGAAAGGACTGGGCAGAAGCAAGATTACGGAGGCTTTTAAATAGTCTACTTCTTACACACGAACCTCTGAGCAAATTATATCTCAGTATAAATATTTATACATAGAACTCGAGTTCATTTTTGCTCATCTACTATGAGATTATATTTTAAATAGATTCTATTTTAATTTTCTCTCTCTCCATTCTCAACCACCTGCTTACTATCTTTCTGTTTTGACATTTCCCCACACAGTATAACAACAGATGCTACATTATTTACTGAACCCAATCAATTATATTATAGAAAAATGAACAACAGTAGCTCATTAGAGCTCTTTTCTTTGTGCAAAGAGTGCGTCGCTCCCCAAAGTAACTAGTCTCCAAGGCTTCAACATAAAATGGCAATTTACGATGGATATTCTGTACCAGCAAACCAAGTCAGAAAACAATGATGAGATGGATCACATTAATAACTCTTGGACCTGAACAAGCAATTTCAGTCTGCTGATAAAAAGATGTTCAGTATGTGAATAGCTCAATAGTCAGATTTTAAATATACAAACTGAACATAAAGCCACTTCTGTAAGTAAACAATGTTGCAGAACAATTCAGTAGAAGTAATCTGTATACTTGAAAATGGGGAGTGTTAGTAAACATTATTGTTAAAATCCCCTTTGTTCTACTAAGCAAATAGATCCTATTTTCTTTACTCTACATTAAATGATTACATAAGAGAAAGGACTGGGCAGAAGCAAGATTACGAAGGCTTTTAAATAGTCTACTTCTTACACACGAACCTCTGAGCAAATTATATCTCAGTATAAATATTTATACATAGAACTCGAGTTCATTTTTGCTCATCTACTATGAGATTATATTTTAAATAGATTCTATTTTAATTTTCTCTCTCTCCATTCTCAACCACCTGCTTACTATCTTTCTGTTTTGACATTTCCCCACACAGTATAACAACAGATGCTACATTATTTACTGAACCCAATCAATTATATTATAGAAAAATAAACAACAGTAGCTCATTAGAGCTCTTTTCTTTGTGCAAAGAGTGCGTCGCTCCCCAAAGTAACTAGTCTCCAAGGCTTCAACATAAAATGGCAATTTACGATGGATATTCTGTACCAGCAAACCAAGTCAGAAAACAATGATGAGATGGATCACATTAATAACTCTTGGACCTGAACAAGCAATTTCAGTCTGCTGATAAAAAGATGTTCAGTATGTGAATAGCTCAATAGTCAGATTTTAAATATACAAACTGAACATAAAGCCACTTCTGTAAGTAAACAATGTTGCAGAACAATTCAGTAGAAGTAATCTGTATACTTGAAAATGGGGAGTGTTAGTAAACATTATTGTTAAAATCCCCTTTGTTCTACTAAGCAAATAGATCCTATTTTCTTTACTCTACATTAAAACAGGGAAGCCCAGGTATATTTTGATAACATGGACCAGTCTTGCAGCCTTTGCGTAGGACAACGATTTCCAAAAGGCCAAGGTATGAGAAAAGGTTCAGGAGCAGATATAATAAAGCGGAATTAATTTTTGTTTCTATGTGTCCAAAATTACTTAAAAAACAAGAAAAACATACTTCTTACTTGAATCTGAGCGTGAGCTGATTGCTCAACAGTCTGTTACTACTACAGTACTGATTTATGTTCGACTGCTATTAACCTCACGGAATTGCTGTCTTTCAGTTATTCTTGACACAATTTTCACAGTCCAGTTTTGTGCATTGCTCCTTCAGTTGTGTTTTAGCTTCCATTCTTGGCTTATGTTAACAACAGGAGCTAAGTAAGTCATCAGATACTGTGGGATAAGAAAGAAGGAGTGGACTGCATCTTTCCCAAACCATTGAATACTACTGTTTGGACTGAATTTAGTATTTACAACACAGTACTGTTTAAAAGGTTCTCGAATGCTTAAATCATTCAGGTTTTTTAATGCAATTATCTTGGTCAAAATATATATATGCAAATGCATTGCTCATACAGTTTGTTTATTGGCTTTATCTCAGGGAATAATAAATGTGTTCATAGCCAACTTTTTTGCAGTTGTATAATGCAATTTTTTCATACATCAGCAAAGTACACAAGACTGAAATGTCGAGTATACATTTAAGTCACGTGTGGGGGGGAATAAGCAAGGCTGTGATTTATCAGGATTCCATGAGCTCCAAGGACTTTAACTAAGTGGAGAATTAAATGAGAATATATTTCCAAATTTCAAATCTCCATAATCCATGAGAGTCAAAGCAAAGAAGTTATATTAAGTCCACCAAAAATACTGGAATGCTGATATTTTATATAAATGAATAAATATTTGTAATATTTATGTTTTATTTATATTTGATATAATACTGGAAACATACTCAGGAAATATATATTCAATAGGGATGCGGATATAGCTTTATATTCATTAGCAACTTGCTCACAGAATCTTATATGCCTAGAAGTCAAAGGACAACCCCCAATCAACTGTGGTATCAGTCAAGACATTTATATGTAAATATAACTTTTATTTTGAAAATTTTATTCAAGGGTTTCAAAGTCCTTTTCAAGTATCAAGCTGTGTTTCACAGCAGTTCTGTAAGGACTTATATTCCAAGAACTTCACAGAACAGGTGGAAATATTTTAATGACTAGTCTATTTTACCTATCCTTTGAAATGTGGTGGGACTTTTGGGGAAGAAACATGGCTGTACCCCAGCCTTTTTACCATATTTTGTATTTGCCAGGAGGTGAAAAAGAGCAAGTCACTAATATAAGTAAATTCGTGTATATGATGCTTTATGTAAATAACTACATAGACACACAGCTAGGCCAGGAGCTAGCCTAGATCCTGAAAGAGGCTGCAGGAGCCATCTCTGACAGGCACTGGGACCCTCAGAGACTACAAAATTAACAGAATCTACAAAATAACAGAGTTTGAGGAACAGTACTCTTCACAGGACATGGTTTCTATTTTCTTATATAGGCCTAGAGACGTAAAGTGTTCGTTTAAACACAATTTGCATTCTAAAGAAGGTTCTGTAGAAAACCGTTTAGGAATTTAAAAATGTACCATAAATCTAATGTTCTGGATTTTGAATTTTTTTTTTCTAAAAATTTTTTTTAAAAGTGTTTTGTCTCCCAAATTAAATTTGGCAATTTGTTTGATCAGAATTGCAGCTAGGCTTTGTGCTACTTCCTGGAAGAAATGAAAGGGCTCCATGGTATTATATTTTTAAAAGGAGTGCCTGCAGAAACAAGGTTAGAGGTTCCCAAAGATTCCACCATTTATGGAGCTCATTTCACGGATCTCCTGTTAGCAGGCCTATCTAATATCTGGCTGTAATTCAGACCCAGATGATGTAATTGTGACCCAAACGATAGAATAGAAAAGCTATTAAACAGTGGATGAAAATGATTTTGCTGCACTATGTTCTATATAGATATGGTAAGAAAGTATTTAAAAAAAAAAAGAATGGATGTTCACATAAGAAGTATACTTTGAATGAAAGTTGCAATGTGTGTTGAATGAAAGTTGCAATGTCCATAACCTTCGTGAATCCAAGAAGTTGTCAGAAAAGGTAAAACATCCCACCTCACGTTCTTCCTCCTGTTCTTTCCGAATCTGTTCCAAGCGAAACTGCTCTGCCATTTCTCTCTCTTGCGCTTCCCTCTAATAAACACAAACAGTAATCACACATGTATCACCTCGCTTTCCACAGCTGTGTTTAATGATGTGCATTAGCTATATAAAAGCAAAGAAACTTCTCAACTTTTCTGTAGAAATTAATATAAGAAATACGATATTTTTTAAGTGATCTTTTCCTGTCATTCCTTTCCCAACTTCTATTATTAAGTGGGGCCAGGACTGCTTTAGCAAAAGATGCAGCCAAGTCTACTCCTAGTGACTGTGTCTAGTGCCATTTTATAACCACTGAGGGCAATAACGGCTCCTACAGCAACTGTCTTATCTTAAGAGTAGAACTGGAGGCGGGCAGTCCTCTGCACCAGAGGGACTTCACCAACTGTGGAGAGATTCCTGTCCCAACATTCATGCGATCTCTCCACTCTGCACACACCTTCGCTCTGTCAGCCTCCAGTGATATGCGGTATGCTTCATCCTGCTCTCTTTTCACATTTTCTCTGGCTTCACGTTCATCCTAAAGAAAAAAAAAAAGAAAAGAAAAGAAAACAAAAATATCAGCAAACAGTGGACCAATATGATATATATCTTTTTTTTCACCAGCACTCTTTAACTCCAGTGACTTCAAAATATTTGACTGCCTTACTCATCTAAGTACCGCTAGGAGAAATGATTTCAGAAATGCCTCAAGGGCAACCTTGGCTTTAAAAATTATGACTTAACTAAAGCTATGTTTCAACTGCCATGTAACGGATTGGCGTGTCCAAGCCCCGGCCCGAGGGCTGGATCTGGCAAGCAAGGCTCTTTGCCTTGCCATCTTTATCACGGCCGTGGCCAGTGCAGACACCAGGAACAGTGCAGCCTCCTCCCACGCCAGCCACACGGGGAGGGGGGTGCGGGAGGGGTACGTGTGGGCTGGTGCCAGGGAGGGTCTCGCAGGGATCTCACTCCTGCAGCTGACAATTTGGATGGTCTTGTAATAGGGAAGGACAGACCGAGGTTTAAAGGATGAGGCTGGATTTTAACTTGCTCTCCGCTCAGACTGACAGCAGTTAACGGCTTGTCCTGCGAAAGAAGGCCTGCTCCCAGGTCCTTCCTTGGTAAAAACACCCTCAGTAGGATCCATCCAGGGTCAAGACTATTAAATATAATCCAGAGGCTTCAGTTCACATTGTGCTGAATATTATACAAAGATGGGAAAGTAGCAAGTCCTGCTCTGAAGTGCCTCAAATACACAGACGCAGGCAGACAAGAAACATGAGGTTAGCATGCCAACTTCAAACCAGCAAACCTAGCAAAGTATCTTATTAACGATCACAGCATAAGAAAAATAAGGGTTTACTAAAAATATGCGAATGACAAAGCGAGGCATCATCCATACAGTGGAGGATCAAGAAGTGGATATCCCCAAAAGCTGGAATAACTGCACTGGGGTGATGTCTGATAAAGCAAAGTGTACAATCAATAACTTCATGCTCTGCCTCTGGAGCCAGAGACAGCGGCTGCTCCCCTGTGCTTACTCCTCTTACATCTTATAATCCTCCCAGAGCCCTGCAGAGGCTGCACTGGTCCCTGCGAAAATCGATAAGATTTAGCTGTGAGACTGCTGGTGGGCTCAGCATGGTCACCTGTAGTTACCAGTAACACAGCACTTGCACTGGGGTAATCTGTCCCCTGTATTTCATAGAAATTAAAGTCTACTACCTACTGCTTTTTGAAGAATTATGTTAATTTTTTCCTTCATCTGCAAGCTTTATTCCACATAAAGGCATCATTTTGCAAAGCGATCAATTTTGCCCCCAAAACTTCACTACTTGGCAAAAACGCAATTCTAAATGGGAGGAGCATACGTTAGCTGTTACTATCATGTCATGCAAACATGCCAAGATGTTCCTCAAACAAAACTCTAACGTATTAGTGGATAAAAAGCTCTAAAGTAGCATGCGACCACAAGAGGAAAGGTCAAATTGCAGGAAAAGGTATACAACCTCCAGTTGGAAAGTAACAAGATCTTTTTAGAGGAAACTCTTCTCCCTTATAGAAACAGGACCCAAGATTATTCTACAATCAGTGTGTCCTAAATTTCATTCACAGAAGATAGAGAAACCATCACTTTGTTCAGCAAAGCTAAGACTTGAGTAGAAGTAATTCTTGCAAAATATAAAAAGGACAATAACCACTGAACAACCCATTCCCCTCCTGGCTTCTCTGGACCTTGACAAGCTTTATGTGCTATGTTCATGGAATACCCTCAAAAATTAACTCAAACCTGATAGCAGAAACTACCCTACATTAATATTCCATTTCTGAGAAGAGGGGGTGTTGAAATAATTAAACGGCTCTGATTTTTATGTTACCCAAAAATGAGGATGGCTTCTTGAATACACAGAGGTTTTCCCAACTCCTCTCATAGATGGAACGTAACAGTAAAGGCAAAGGTTTTGTACTATGTATACTGAGACTTTCCATAAGCATACCATAAATTTATCTTAGAATGGTGAGAAACAAAACTATCTTCCCAAACCAACCTACTAAAGAAAGATAGACTTCAGGCAATCTGCGGAGGACAAGCATTTAAAAAAATATTAAGAATTGTTTTGCAGAGAGCCTATTTAGCTTTCATGTTTTGCAACTTCATATATCATACACTATCTTCACACATTAACTGAATTTCAAAGGTCACACAAGTCCAATAAAGCCTGAGAGAAAACAGAAAGATCAGATGCAACTATTGCAACTACAGGCTCTTTCCTTCATCAAAGATTGCTAGCAGTTACCATATAGTTACTTTAGTTTACAAAAAAGACCCCAAACCAACCCAAACCAAAACCAATCCTCAAAAAGTAAAAATTTTAAAATTTATAAAAATTGTTAAAAACCCACTCCAAAAATATATACTAATCAGTTATAAGAAATTGAGTACTGGCTTTTATTTTACATTTTGCAAACTGTCTGGAAAACTCCAGGAAGTTATTAGAATTCTGTTACTTTTGATGAGCACAGGATTCATTTATCTGAAGAGAGTTTTACTGAACAATTTTTGAAATTGGTTCAATTTACATAATCTGGATTATACCTGCAAAAAATACTGATGCTATAGATTCCACATGAGAATCTAAACATGAATTCCAGGCATTTAAAAAAAAAAAAATTCTTTCCTCCCTATTCATCACAGTTATCATCGTCCTAAAAGTGGATTATGAAAAAGATGTCAGGAATGTGAAGAATTACTACGCATGACTGCCTGGTCCTCATAGAAATATGTGAGCCCCATCTAAAAATAAATGACCATGCCACCAAGCTTTACACCGCATTGAAACAATACTGTTCTTACTGAAACAGACCTTAAAAACAAATCCGGAATCCAGATTTCTTTAGGCGAGAAGCAGATGTAATCCTATGAAATGTCTCTTTGTACCTACTTCTGTGTTTTGTTAATACCGCCTACACTCTACCGGAACCACCTCCTCTACGGAGATTATGGCAAAATTATAATATTCTCTGGTTCAGAGCTACACCTTAGACAAATTTTAAACATTAGATACTGCAGTTCTCCTTTTTGTAATGCAGTTTGTTATTTTAGTCATCTCTTCCTCCAGAGAAACCTTACAAAGTATGAGGCTGACTCAAGTTTACCAAAAGCAACAGAAGAAAATTCATAATGGTGACAGAAAAAACAGAAGAAAATGTTTTGCAGAGAATCTTTCATTGCACTAAGAAAGAACACTTGACGAAAAAAGAAATAGTCATACCTCTTGTAATTAATTAAAAAAAAAAGTCTAAGTATTATCCATTAACAAAATCTGAGGTAGCTGACAGCTTTGCTGTTAAACCCTACATAAATTGCAGCATCGACTGAACATCAATAAATGCATCTCCACAATACTTTTGCAATGAAGGTAAAATTGCCATCTTCCTTTTTCAAGAAACCAAGGTGTGAACAGGCAACGGTTTAGCCCAGGTCACTTAAAAAGCCTTCATCAGAAACAGGGGTTACACTCGGCGTTTCTGAATTCCACAGCAGCAACCAAAGGCTCGTGTGAGTGTAAACCACCCACATCCCAGGGGTTGCTGAGATGAGGAGACAACTCTCCTTTGCTCCTTAAAGGGAAAAAGTCACAGATCTCTGCTTTCCCATTTTGACAATGCAACAATAGGGGGGACATTCATTCAATGGAAACTTGATACTTAAAAAAAAAAAAATTTGCATTTATCCACAGAATATATTCTTCAGCTATGAATTTTCTTTGCTATCATGCATATTACAAAGCCATAACAAAAACAGTAAACACTTATATTCATGAGATAGTTACAATGGACCAGATAAAACCTTCTCTTGAGTAATATCCAGAGCTACAAGACTAAGAAAAACTTACAGATAAGGTTAAGAAGAAATTTACGATAACTCTCTCCAATAATTATTCCCTAAACCATTTCTTGAAGTTACCCCTGAAGCACCTAATAGCAGGCATTTTCAGATGCAGGATGATGGAAATGGGGGATCCTCGATTGCATTTAGGACAGCAATGCCCCCTTTTCCTGCAGATTACACAGGGGAAAAAATACACAATACATTTGGCTTTTTGGATGGGTTATTTTGCTGGAAAAGTCAGCATTGGCCCTTCTGGGTTTTCTTTTATTTATTGTTGTTGTTTCTGAAGGTAGGATTTAATGATTTAACGCCAGGAATCAGCTTTGCACCTGATTTGTCTCAGGGAGATGTGTTATACTTTATTCCCCATTGCCCTTTGGGATCAGTTTTACTGTGAAGTAAAACCAGACGAGACAGAACTTGAGAAGATAACCATGAGCACATGACGCTTCTCAGAGCATCAGTAAGTAAAAGGCTGTTACAAGAAAGACAAAAAAAAAAGTGTATTTACAAATGCTGAATGCTTATCTGAAAGACAGTTCATTTCACTGAACCACTCCTGAAATTAAAATCTGCAAGTGCTCAAGGCTATTCATGGGAGCGTTAAAGAGAAACACCCCTTTGTCCAAACAAACCAGTGCAATAAAGGCATTAATTTGACTCACTAAGATGACAGACTTGCACATTGTATAACTTAAACATACACGATGGGGAATATATAGAAGGGAAAGTGTACACAGAATGTGTTAGGCATATGAGAACGATGAAGACAAAGCAAATGAACATTTCTGCGGTGGCAGAACCTCAGGTGGGGAGGCAGGACGGGGCAGGGTGAGGGGGCAGGACAACCGGAGGATCCTGTCTGTCTATATCAAAGGCTGAAAGCCCAGTTCCAGATACTGATTCTGGAAATTACCTCAAGTGACAAGAAAAAAAAAAAACCAAACCCCAAACCTTCAAGAAGCAGTCCTGCAGTGACTTTCCACAGGGAACGAGCCAGCCAGTCCTGCTACAACATCTACCCACCTGGGCTGTACAGCAGGGAAGACTGCTGTTTATTAAGAGAAACTAAGCTAATATTCAGTGACTGGAGCCATCAACATGTATAGCCAAAAAGCCACCTGCACTAAAGATATTTTCATTTT